TGGTAAACATACTGATAATTTTGCTTTTTTGTTAGGGTATGTCACTTGTCACATAACTACTGTGTTTAGTAGAACATACAAATGTAGAAAAATTCTGTGGTTATAGATAATGATCACTAGCTTTTCTAGCAGTATTTTTCATTGTTTTATTTAGAAAAGTTTCTTTGCCTTTCTCTTTAAAGTGGACATTCCTGGTTTTCAAATTAAAAAGGTACTGAATCAAGCAATACTCTTGCTAATATAACGAACAAATATAATATGGTTCAAAGAGAAAAACACTTTAAAAATCCCCCAGTTTCCTTAGACTGGCTTGAAACTCTTCTGTATACATGCACAAAAATGCACACACGGTTCTTACATACTTATGTACTTGAAATTCATTTTTTCAGCTTTTTTAGACCCTATCCAAGATGCATAGTAATAAAGGCTGAGTTAATTTTAAGTTACTCTGTTGATAGAAGATCTCCTTTAAACCTTGTAGAAAACCTTTAAAAATAATAAAAATACATTGTTCTTCAGACAGGGTGTTTATGGTGAGCCTAGGCTGAGTAATAACCTGAAGCAGATATTCTGTATTTTTCTCCCATTCTTACATGGATTACTCTTTTGTTAGAGAAGATGAGACCTTTTTGTTCCCACGTGCATCAGCAATGCTCAAGTCAACTCATGAATCCTTTTTTAAAGCTTGGCAAAGGTTATCTTGTTTTGATTAATAAAAGCAATGCTTTCTATTTAAAAGATTATCTGCTGCAGCTGTTTATCAGCAGGATAAGCAAAGCTATCAATTTCATCTTAAGACAACTTGCAAATGAATACTCATGATCCTCATTTTCTTGTAGTTTTAGCATTAACTTGATGTGGTAGAGCCTAAAGAACAATATCATTTACTGCAGCAGCAGCTAATTTTAGTGAGGATTGTGTCCTTCCCTAACTGTAAAAAAACCTACTGTGATTTTGGCCTGAAAGCAGTTCCATTCTGCAAGTTAATCTTTCTTTGAAGCACAGAAAGATCCTATGTCCTGAGTTTATGTCTTGAAGGACATAAACTGACAACACAAAGCTGGAGGACTTGTGTATGAGACTGGATAGAGAGATTTATAGCAGAAACAGAGAAGTGCAGATCAGTTCCTGGAGTGAAAAATGGTAAAAGTCTTAGGCATATTAAAAAAATAAAAGATGAAAAGATACTCCAGGAAAAAGGATAGTTTAGTACAGGCAAAGAGACAGAAAAAGGAGTAGACTTTTGTGCAGTGTAAATCATGGAGGGCAGTGAAACTGAGAATCGAGATCCTGGATTATCTGTGATAAAACACAGAAAACTGGAATGAGAAAAGATAAAAAAATCTGAATCTGGAGAGGTAACAACATCCAAGACTTGAAAAGATGTGAATTATGGAAGAAATAAATAATTGTAGGTGTAGAAATAGTCAACAGAAATAAGTTACATTTCTACTTCTTCAGTATTTATAGCCATACTTTAGCCATGAGCTCTGAGGCTTCAGATTTCTGTTTGCCCTGTGTGCCTGTCATTGGATATCAGCTGCATTTTTGCTGCAGCAGCCTGTTGCATTGACTGGTACTTTACAGAAAGAATTTACATAAAGTTCTTCCAGTTTAATGAAGACTTGAGAAATACTAGTTGGAAATTCAGTGTTTTGAATCAGAAAGTGTTTTATTTATTTTCTTATTCCAAATCCAGCAACACAAGTGGCTGATTTTGAATCATCTTAGCTTAGTTTCTATGGAAAGATTTTCATTTTGACAGTTTCATTTTTCCAGAAGAGTGAAGCTGGGTTGTGAAGCCTTCATTATAGAAGATGATGGTTTCATTAAAGATAGTTTCATTAAAGGCTTTCAAAATCATGCATTAGCTTTCTGCTGGACTTGATCAATGGGCAGTCTAGTGAAATCAAATTCTAATGAGATATTCCTAGTAGTTTCTGGCAGTATGGAGACATGCTTTGGAGCCAGCCTCCTAACTCTGGTCATCTCAGTGTGTTGAGCCTTGCTTTTAGATGTGAGAGATTATACTAAGTGGAGCCTGAAGGGTAATTATACTTGCAATGTTCAAAGGATCATGATCCTTTGCAGATTCCGTGTCAATCTTTGCCAGATTTAGAGGTCTTCGAGCAAAGCTGGAGTTCTGAGACTGTGGAAAGTGGGAATGTGGATGGGTTTTGTAGTTGGTATTGTAAAAGAGAAGGTGAGTTACTACAAATGCACCTCTAAATCTTGTCAGCAAGCAGTGCCTCAAGGAACACCACATCTTCACTCACGTGTTATCTCTGTTCCATTAGTTACTCCTTGAATAGGCACTCCTTATGGAGTTATGCCTTCCTTTCCTGTAATATTGATATATATAAGGTGTTTATAACTGTAATTACCAAGTAATGTTGAATCTGCAAAGCACCAGTGTTGATCTGGCAGTGCATTGTCCGTGGTACTTGCTGTCTGTCTCCTGTGGTACATGTTCACCTGCAACCGAGCCGTGATCTGAGCTGTCTGGTCAACTGTCCATTCCTGACCTCAGTGCCTGCTCCAGAGATTGGATGCCACTGACAGCTACAGCTTTTTACCAATTGGGATGTGTTAGTTGCCTTCTGGAAGTGCATCTTCTGGTGCAGTTTCGTTTGAAAAGGGCCCACTTCATTTGCTCAAGGACTAAACTAAAGCACAGTGAGGGAGGATGTTTGGGAGATTCACTTCAGAAGTGCATTTGTGATCTAAAATAAATTTACAACATAAACACAACCAATACACCCTCTGCTTCAGTGGTGAAACACAGGAGAGGCCGACACAGGCTGTACTTTCTCTGCCTGGAGTGAGAAGAGGTGTCATGCATGGGGAGTCAGCAAGGCATTTTGAGGGAGCAGATGGGTGGTAGTGAATGTTTGTGTCATGCCTTCCATATCTTCCCCTTTGCAAGATAATGCAGCTTGTGACAGTGACAGTTCAGCCCATATATGTAAAGCACTGTGTAAATACATAATCTTTGTAATATAAAAGGAACATTATATTCTGCATTGGTTTTATTTTGGCATAAGCTTATGTTCTGTTGTCAAGAATAGTGCACACGAGCTTTAAGAGCTTTTTATTATGAAATATTTCAGAATTGTGCTGTGCAGATTGAAGTAGGAGATCAGAACTGGAGTTTCATGTAGAACTGAAGCAAACAAGACTGAAAGGAAGCCGGAAGCTCACTGCACTTCACCTGCTGCCCAAACCAGCAGTGACGTGTCAGTGTGGTGTTCTTAACTGTCTTTTTCTCCCTGATCTTTCTTGCAGGCATTTCAGTGACAGAGATTTCTGGATATTCACAGATATTGTGCAGCACTTCTTTGCTGTCATTGAAGTTGCACGTGTTCCTCACTATATAACCAAGATGTTGCTTGTTGCAAATTAAGTGCACTAGTTTTTTTGCTTGCTAGTCTAGACAGAGAAGAAATTTGTCTTTGCTCTTTCAGAAGCTTCTTCTTTATTTGACCATTTCTCAATAGGTTCTGTTAGCCCAAAGACTTTATTTAAGGCTACTATAATTTATCTTTTGACTTTTAATAGAATATATTAAGAAAAGGCCATTTTCTATCTCTTTAATTTCCCACTGATTAATAATAGTTTACGTAAAATGAATGAAACAGGGGGAACCTCATGTAGTATATTTTGTGTTTATTATAAGAGATTGAATTGTAATCAGTCATTATGAACTTGAGGTTTTTTAGAGAAAGGAAAGGATATTTGCTCCCTCTATGAAATGAGAGTTTATATATATATATATTAAAAAAATTAGGTGAAAGATAGATCTAGAGTGTACCTCTATTATGTTTGAAAAAAATCTCTGAATTTTTTGCATTGTGGAGCAATGCAAAAAAATAAACTCCTTTTTCTGAGAATGAGGAAGAGTACATAATTTACTGTACTATTTAATTTAGAGTACTAAGTCTGTTTATACATTTAAGTAATTCTTGAAAAATTGTTCAAAGAACCCATTCTAAACTTATCTAGTAAGAAGACTCATACTCACTGTTTTGGAATCATTGTGTTGATGTTTCATGCTTCCCACACAATCTTACAAAGTTTGGCTTCTTCCTTCTTAGGAAAAGTTTTATTTTTCAAGAGATATCACTGCTAGGATATTATAAAACTACCATGAATGTTTTGTATCGTTGGCTAAAACATGCATGCTCCCAAGTAGATGCATATTCCGAGAGGAATGAAAAACGTTTTGTAACTTTGGACATATACATTATTTCTTGTGGCAGTGGAGTCTCGGTGCCCCAGTCCAGGCCTCAAACTGCTTTGCACCGTCAGTCTAATATGGAGGCAAACCAGAGGCAACTCTGCCCAGGTGACCCTTTTGTCTGAGGTTTTGACAAGGCCACAGGTGCCTAAAGCAGGTGTTTGGATATGTCAGGAAGCATGTTTTGGCAGGTGGCTTAACAATCTCTCAAGCCCCAGTTGCCATCTATCTAGCTAATACCAGATATAGAGATATGCAGAAAAACCCCAAATAAAAGAACATATTAGTTTTTTTAAATATAAAGAAAGTAGTGGATATAGTGTAATAATAATGGCCAGTCTTCGCGAGCGAAGATCCGGGGAAGGTCTTTACACCTTCCAGCCTGCGCATTGGATTTTTTAGGTGAGACACAGTGTGCGCGGAACTGAGCCCACCCTTTAATCCTAAGGTTCATCTGCCGGGGCCTAGCGAGCTTGGATGGTGGCAGCGAGGTCCTTAGGACGTAGATGGATTGCCTTTTTAAGGGTTAACGAGCTCCATCAGCCCGGGAGTGGCCCTGACCGGGAATCGAACCCGGGCCTCGGCAGTGACAGCGCCGCGCCCTTACCACTAGACCACCAGGGGCTCCGGGATATAGTGTATTGCTGGCTAAATGAAGGAGCCGTTTAACAAAACCAAAATAACAAGTTGTCTTGCTTTTGCACAGCACAGTCCAAGAGTTAAAGGCAAAACCTAATAAATTTTTTCTTTTATTTTGTTTTAGAACGTCAAGCGTGTACATCTATGGCTGGCTCCAGCGTCCTTCCCTCCAGCGTGGCTGGGATCAGCAGAGAGCTGATCGAGCTGCAGCACCTCATCCAGTTCCCAGAGGAGGTTGCCAGCATTCTGACCGAGCAGGAGCAGGAGCTCTACCGGAAAGTCTTACCCATTGACTACCTCTGCTTTTTAACCAGGGATTTGGGTAATGCTGCATGTCAAAGCAAGCTGCCATCTGTTAAGGCTTCCATATCTGCTACTATTCTTTCTTCTCCCAATGGTGAACGTAATGCTGTAGAAGATCTTGTGACAAGGTTTAATGAGGTAAGGGTTCTTACCTGATGTGTGGTTAGTTATTTCCTTTATCTCTCAGTGCTGCATTTAGCTGTAGTGACAGGTTTTTAAAATATAAGTTAAGATGACCAGGGATTTAGCTAAATAACTTACACTGAATTTAATAGGAGTTCTGTGACCGATTTACTCAGTGAGTTTGGAAAACGGCAGCCCAACCTTTTCTTGCACGTGGTAAAGTAAACACGAAGAAAAAATTACAGACTTCTACTTCTTTGTATTTATACTGACAGTATGGGGTACAGTTTCAGTCAGTTTATTATTTTGTTTAGGAGCTGGAGTTCTATTTATTTGTTTTGGGTTTTTGTAGACTAAGCATGACTTAGGAGTCAGCACAGAAGTATTATAAACTAGAAATTTCTGTGTTCTCTGTAATATAAGTACACTAATCTGCACTATTTATTTATTTAATCACTGTGTGTGCCTTTGTGAATGTTGTTATACAAAGAAGTGTCACTTGGCAGGACACATTTTCACAAGCCAAATCTTCAGTTCTTTATTAAGATTTTAATTTATTTTTAGTAAGCTGATCTTCTGATGAGAAATAGAAATAATAGGTAATTGATTGAGGATTCAGAAAACTGTAAAAAAAAAAAATCTACCCAAACCAAAACAAAACCAACTAAATAAAATCTCAGATTTTAGCTGCAGAAACATGGAACAATTTTTTTTTTTTTTTTTTTTTTTTTGGTGTTAATCATGTGCAATGTTAGGAGTTTCTAGATTCATAGAAGTGCAATAAAATGAAGATAAAGTTGACTTAATGCTCTATAGTTTGCTATTCACTGCATTCTTATGGTTTAATAGGGGATGAAATTGTGCAGGTAGCAAAAAAAAAAACAGCATAAAATTTTGTAGATGGAAAAGAATGTGTATTAATTCCCAGTGAACTTCCTGATTCCTGGGCAAAGAAGAATCAGTGAGTGAATATTTAGCATGTTTTGAAGTGTTCCTGACTCTTACACATTATTAAGATTTAACAACTAAAATAGTGTAAATACATTGTCTTCTCTCACCTACATAAAAGTTGCAACTACAATATTCAGTCTTAGAACCTAAAAATAGTTTAAATTAGCTCTAGTTAGAGTATTTAAGAAAACACTGTGGCTGGTGCACAGCTGGGGAGGAGTCTAGCTGCTAACCCAGCTAGGACTGTCCTTCCTGTGGTGCTTCTCTTACGGTGATCACCAGAGTGAGGCCGGTGGAAAAGAGGAGCAGTGGCCAAGCTCAGGTCTGACCTGGTGAGGCACCACTGCCAGAGCAGTTCTAGAGGACAAGCTGTAGTTGCTGTACCAATTAGATGGGCCATCATTGTGTTCTGACATTGAGGAATCACAGGGTTGAAGAGTAAGTAGGTGGTGAAGAAGTCTTGTCAGAAATGTGTGGTCTGTTCCATACCGATGAGAATTTTAGCATTAGAGTTGCCTTTTGATAAAATAGCCAGCATTATCTTTTACCCTTAAAGGTTTGTGACTTTACAGTTTTTGTAGTCTGTCATTACTTGTTTGATAATGCTACAGGATAGTTTTTTATGTAATTTGAATTAATTCCTAAATATTCAGTGCATAGATTCTATGGTATTTAGAGAAATAGATTATTTTAAATAAAATCTGGAATAGCTTCTTTAAAATATAGATGTTATATGTTTAAATGGAGTTATTGTACAATACTTACTGCTTGTAATAAATCACTGTTTTGCTATATGCTTTATCTTGTGGTGGAGTATATCAGTTGCCAGAGCCAATCACCAGTGTGAACTTTCAAAATGTCTTTGTTTATAAATGGCAAGAAAATTCTTGTGCAAAGAGTCATGATTTTGTTGGCTAAAGTCAGTGAGCATTTGCTGATTTTTTTTGGCATTGCCTATAGAAATACTGAAGTATATTTATAATGTGGGAGCCAAAATTACTTTTAGGATGACAGGCTTCTGATACGTAATGGGGAAAAAACAATTCCATGCCATTATTCTGTTAAATAGTAGTTAAATTATTTGAGGATTTTTCAAAAAGCATTATGCTTTTTAGTATTTTTTTCTGACAGTATATGTTAATGAGGAACACTTTATAACACTTGTTTAAAATGTCGGTCAGTATATCATGAAGATTTTGGGCTACATGCATTCAATATCACCAACTGTAAATAAAGTCTGTAGTGTTTAAAGCTTCATTAAAACTGTAGTTGCATGATAGTGGAGACTTGGGCACACCACATACTTTTTGGTGAGTCACAGCTGATGCTTCATTTGCTGCTAATAATATCAAATTGATCATAGAGTCTTATTAGAGCAAGACAGTAGACCAAGCTAAGGACAAATATTCTTTCCTTTACTTAATGTAATTAAAAGCTGATTCTGAATTAGTGGCCTGTGTGGGAGGATTGAAGTGAAATATAGTGACATCTACCTTTACAAAAGTATTGGCTTTTGCATTCTCTAAGACTGTGCACTTAATAGTAATATATTTTTCTGCTCTGATAGAGCCCTGACTACCAGAAGTTCAGTTTCCTTGGATGTAAAACTGTGGGAAGAAAGTGTTAGGGAGATTCTGCAGTTAGCAGAGCCTTGGTAGCTGGGAACAAATTAGGAAAATGGTACCTAAGTGTGTTTTGGGACCCTGAGAACTGTAACTTACTTTTTTCCATCTCTCCTTGTGGCCTACTTTGAGTTTCTCTTCTTCATTTAGTTCTTTTCTCTGATTCCTGTGTGACATGAGTTCACCCTGCTTTACCTTGAGTGATGTGGTCCTTACTCAGTATCATATGCCACAGTTTTCCTGGGATTCTGTTTCTTTTCCTGTATCTTTACCTTCCCAGACTCTTGCACCTTTCTGGCTTTTACTTCCACTCTTCTGCCTCTCACCAGCAAAACAACTACAGAAACACAAGTCCAATGGACATGTTGTAAATGTTTATGTAAACATTTAAAATAATTTCAATCGTTGCTTTATATAAACACGAGAGGAGTCTCTTTTAAGTTGATCTTTCTGGCTACATCTTCAAGTAACAGAAAAGGAATAAAACTTAAACCAAAATGAAACATTTCATTTTCCATGCTGAGATACGCATACAAATCAAATGTGATGTCATAGATGGAAAGCTGCACCAGACTGAAAGATCATTCAAACATCTGACTGAAGGTAGTCCCACTACTGAACTAAAAATGCAAAATAAGAAGTTGAATATGTAAGGTGATTTTTTTTAAAGATATGATTGCTATAAAATAAGCTAAGAAGGTAAAAAAGTTAGAATCACTCCAGTATAGCACTGCTATGGGGCTGGGTTAAGTGATTCTTATATTCAGTAAAGTTAATTAAAAATATGGCTATTTAGGACACTTAGAGATGCTAGTTTTATTTTTAATAGTTTCATTTTGTAAGGTTTTTTTCATTGTTCATTCAAAACACAAAATCAAACCTCACTAGCAAAACAGAGACATATCATTTTACTGAAATAATGGAATGTAAATAAATATTGCACTCTGTCTCTCAGTTCAGCATTTTTTTGCAATGCCTAAATGGGTTTGCATAATGCTTTTAAAAAGACTGTGTTTGTACAAATATCAAACTGTTTCCAGTCCTTGTTTGGAATTGTGTTTAATCAGATTTAAAATGGTAAATGTTCTCTGTAAGGTTATATAATTTCACTCAAGCATGTAAACCATCTGTGCATAAGAGATGCAATTTAAAATACTCACATTTTAAAAATGCACCTGAAAATTATTCTACGTATTATACCAAAAGCCAAAAAGATTTTAGTAATTAAACTTCAATGAAATCCACATAAAAAACTCCAGTTCTGTGTTATGCACTGTGATCCTTATATTCATCTGTAAGCACTGGTAGGTTTGTGCACAGTTAGCAATGCAAGGGAACTTATTACAGGCAGCAGTCAGTGCTAATGCTGCATGCTGCTAGTGGGTTTAAAGTATTTTTTTAAAGAGAGAAATTGGAGTACACTGATACACTGAGAATTTTGCTTTTAAGCAAGGTAATGGATGCTTTTCCCTCTGCCATAAATACCACATGATATCTGATGAGGGTTATTTTTTTACATGGATTTTTCATGTTCTTCAGATTTTACTTAAATTTCGTGCTTTTTATCAAACAAAGTTATTAAAAGCAGAATGATTTGATTAAATGGGTTAGATTGCTATGCTTATCCTTTGGACACCTGAAAAATCATCATCTTGTTTTGTATTCAGAGTCTTTTCACACACAGACTTCACTTCATCAGTATCAAAATTTCTTCCTTTCTTGCTCCAATGTAGACAGTAGTTAAATCAGCTACAGTTTATTATAGAAAGATATTATGGCTAATTTTCATGTTAGGTGTTGAGAAGGTGTGTACTGTAATCTTACTTCGTGGTAAAGCAAATGATTTTGTTTGCTAGCAGTGGTGTTAAACTTCAGGCAGAGATCTGTGTTAGCTAATTTCACCTCTGAAAGCTGCATCTCTCAAGTATTTTGAAGTTCCTAAAAATGTAATATAAAAATAGAAGTCATTATTTCTTCTACGTAGCATCACCCACTGAAGTATGTAGCTTGGGAATTGCTGTAAAAGCCTTAAAAACGTAAGCACTTGAGAAATGAGTGTAAAACACTACAAATGACAAAATGCTACGCTTTGTAGGTGGAGATTGTTAATAATTTTCCGCCTCAATGCCTATCCCCACCGCGTTTACATTCCGATAAAATATAAACAATAAATTCATTCCCATTTAAAAAAAAAATCATATAATACATTCTCTAGCAACTGTATAAAGGATAGTAAAGAATTATATATATGTACATATATGTGAATTAGTACAATCTTGAGTATTAGAAGAATAAAATAAGAGAATGAGTAAATAAAATCCATGACAAATTTAGGAATAGAGTTAATAATTCAACATGTGTTAAACGCTGTTCCGTCCTCTGTCATACATGTAGCAGGGCTCCTGTAGAGTCCTGTAGGGTACACTTAAAAAGACTTTAAGG